TGGAGTCCATCCCAAGAAACAAACTCCTTTGGTCCCCTGTGGGAAGCAGCTGTTCATCTGCTGAAGTTCCTTCCTGAGATCTTAGCAATTCGGTGGTATCTCCCCCTCCTCTTCTTGTTGTAGTTCCCTTGCTGTTTCTATCACATATGCGGCTACTTCCTCCCCTGAAGTCTTGGACCTCCAGAGTCATTCATGATGGTTGGAATCAACTCTTCCAGACTCTTGTTGGTGTTGACACTTTGACCTCCTCCCAAGAGTCATGGACGTTCTCCATGGCTTCAGGAGTGGTGATCCTTTCCAGAGAGTTCCCACTCACTTTGCCCATGTCCATCAGGGGAGTCCCATTGAGAGCAGCCAGTGCCTCACCAGATGTGCGTCTTCAGTAACAAACCCAGAAGTGATAGTGACTCCTTGGTCCGAGGGCTGCAGAGTACGTGCTGGATAGCAGCCTGGAATCTGCATCATGTTGTGCATCTCTGCTGGTCCCCTTGGGTGACCAGGGGCATTGTGGGTGAGCAGCTGTGTTGGAAGGGAATCGTTTCTGGCCTGGGAAAGAGCCAGAAGTCACTCGATGTCAAATCCGGTGAATAAGGTAGATAAGGACACATCATATTATTTTTGCTGGACAGAAATTTCTGTAAATGTTTAAATTGATCCAGGACATCAAAGCAGCCCAAAAAGACACAAAAGAGACTTCCAGACCTGCTTCAGAAAGCAGCCACATTGATGTGTGTTTGAAGCAAAGAAGAGTCTTTTGAGGAGGAGTCATGGCAATGTGGCTTTTACTATAGTAATCTTTAAAAGTTTTTATTTGAACATTCACTGTGCTCTTTATCATACCTCATATTTATTGCATACCTCTGTATCTCATACCCCATCTTGTCAGTATAAAAGCAGTGGAAAGGTAAAATGTGGGAGTCCTCGGAGGAGGTGTCTGGAGTGAGTATTGATCCTAGTCCCCTCTGGGTAGAATCTGTTCCAGAGGCCTAGGCGTCTCCAGAATTGCGTGTTTACCCCTGAGTGCTTTGTAGCCCTCATGCTCTCGTAAGTGTCCCTAAAGCCCTCAGACTGCAGGGATTCATGGCAGCGTGTCTTGGCCACATCCCACTCTGCCTCATTGTCCACTGTGTCTGTCCTTCCCACGCCACTTCTTGGTCCCTTCTGGACCTCACCATGCCGGCTGTGCTCCAGCTGGGTAAGTCACACTCAAGCACCAGGCCTCGGCAAGGAGCCTTGTTTAGCAGACATTAATTACACACATTCTGGATGATCCTAGTGTCACTTGTCTGACTTTGGAGCTCACCCTTGAAGCTCTTTTTTTGAACTGCATCGTGGCTGTCAGTGGCTTCTGTGTGATTTACCTTCCTTTTCCAAGCAGAGGCAGAAACGAAAGCTGCGGTTCATTGTAGCTCCATCTGGGAACTCACCAGAGCATGCTGGGTAAGCTGCAGCCCATTGACAGTTGTGTCCCTTTGGCCAGTTTGCCTGGTCCTCACTGGGAGCGGGGAGGTCCTCAGGAAGGCACCCTACCCTGGGGCATGCTCCCTGGCAGCATGCGAGTTCTCTTCAGCTGTTTGAGGGCAGAGGTGGGATCGTGTTCATTTTGTGCCCTGATGCATGGCACAGTTTCTAAAATGCACCAGCTCTTCGAGGTATGTTTCTGGAATTCTCAGGAGGTGGGAGGGGGGGTGAATTGAAAATGAGCTCTGAGATGCTCGGCCAGGCCCAGGAGCTAGATGCTGTCAAATGGAAGATCTGCTAAGTAGGTCTCTTGCTTCTTCCTATCTATGAAATTTCCTGCTGGGGAGTACCTGATGAGCTAGAAGAATCTGATATCATAAACACTGAAGTAAGTACCGCAGACTTGAAGAGTATCCAGCACCAGCAGGAATGACGTGAGCATAGTTACATAACAGGGAACACCCAAGAATGTTCTCAGAGACGGCAGCTTGCAGGAGGACGAGGCACAGCTTGCACAGAGAACCAGGGGAGCGGCAGCACCCCGAGACACCCATGGTTCCCCTGTTGGAACTCAGGCTCTACAGGCTCTCTTGTCATCTTCTCCCCCCTACCCCTAAAGCTGTTGCATTTTAGGTCTGGGTTTTAGTAAGGTGCAAGTGTCTATTTTTTCTGCCTTCTGCATCCCTGTTGCCATTAATACTATTTGACGTTGATTTTAGGGCAGATGCCAAATTGGTTTGGGTTCACATTCAGTGGCAGCTAGCTGGATGTCAAGAAAGATTCTGAAATTGACTCAGAATTTAGTGTAGGGAAGTTCCATGGATGGGGAAGGGTGGAAAGAAGCAATATGCACACCAAGGGTTTGCCATCCCTGTCCTAGGGCACCATAGAACAGGGAGAGCGGGGAGTGGTATTCTCCATCTTGTTACCTAAATAAGAGTCAACTGAAGTTATTTTAATTTCACTTTCACCCAGAGCCTGAAACTGTAGGGTTTCGGATCATGTTCTACAGTGGTTTGAGCTCAGTATCTTAGTGAACAGAGAGGAGGGGAGAGGTAAATATCATGAACAGTGCTCCAGCCTTTTCTCAAACCTGTTGATATCTGATATCTGATACTAAATCAGGCCTCCTGACTGCGGAAGAGGAAGGAGGGAAAGACTAATTAAAAAGTCCCTCCAATGGCCATGTTTTCCAGGAGCTTTTTCAGAGGTAATTTAAGCTTCTGGAACTTGAGCTACAACGGCATCGTCCTAACTGAGCATCTGAGTGGCTGAGTTGCCCTCCGGATCTCTAACCTGGAGTCTTTGATTTGTGCATGAGGAACTGAAATGTGCTGAGGAGCAGCGGGTGCCTTTGACCTGCCCACAGAAGAATTTCATCAGTGGCAGTGACTCCACCACGCCCACACCCAGCAGCTGTTGTCATGGCAAATCCACCTAGGTGTTCTGTTTGAGGCCTTCTTTTCCAGATGGAGAAACTAAAGCCTGGCCTGTGATTCTTACTTACCGTGGAAATGTGTGAGCTGAATGTGTCAACTATGAACACATCTTGGCCTAGCCAGCACATTCTCCTTGAATGCTTTCCATAAGCAAATGTATCTGTGAGGCTGCACACTTGGGAGGAGTCAGGACAAAATCACCCTCAACACATAAATGCTTTAAAGATACCATTTAGTGCACCAAAGAAAGTACAATGTTGGGAACAAGGACACTGTTTTCCTTGGTGTCCAGGGAGGCTGCTTGAAGGAGCTGACATTCACATTTCAACCAGGGAGAGGTAAGAAGATAGGGTTTGTGTTGTGACACTTGGGGGAAACCCTTCCAGCCCAGAAAAGCAACAAGGGCGGGCCTATCTGGTGCACAGAAGGAAAGCTGGTGAGCTAGGAGCAACGGGAAGGCACAGAGACTGGTCCTTTCTGATGTTTGCTCAATCGTGGTGGTTGTTGGTGGTTTCTTATAACCTTGTAAATATTCATTGCACTTCCTGGAGCTGGTTTCCATTTGCTTGGATATACTTAATTGTCCAGAGAGAGCATGAAGAATTCTGCACACTTAAGGAAAGCCCTTAAGTTTGGCACCATCCCTATAGAGGAAGCTGTGAGGCCCAGGTGGGACCGGCTCTCTCTGCAGAACCGAACAGCCTGGTGTGGTGCAGACTGCATGACAGGGGACTCCATGCCCATTAGCCAGGTGGGTAGGGAACATCAGGACACCGCCCACAGCTGACCCTCTCTCTGAAGGACCTGAGTCTCACCTATCCTCCTGGATGCTGGATGGCCTTCCTCCCCACCTGGCCCCTGGCAAGGCCATCTTGGTCCCTCTGAGAAGCCTCCTGTGATGGCCCGGCCCCCATCCATACCTCTGTGTGTATGCTTAGCCATTGTACATCATATCCCCGATGGACCGGGTTTCCCAAGGGGCCGTGAGCTCCTTGCAGGCAGGCGGTGTGTCATCAAGTTGTCATCTGTGCTTGGCCACCTGCATTCAGTAGGTGCCATCGGTGTTTGCTGAGCCAGGGTACAGGGGGGCAGGCCCTCCAGATGCAGGGATGTTAGCTGTCTGCTCATTCCCCATCCAAAGGACCCCCAGTGAAGATTCATCCTGGACATGGTAGCTGTTTTCTTCTTCACAGTCCTGAATCGATTCCAATACTTTGAATGAAGCAGTTATCAGTTACTCTTGGAGTACTTTCTAGTGAAATGCATAACAAAATCTACCATTTTAACCATTTTTAAGTGACCAGTTCTGTGGCATGGAGTGGACATTATTATGTAATTATCACCACTATCCATCTCCAGAACTTTTTCTTTATTCCAAACTGCCAAACTGGGAAGTCCATACCCATACAACAATAACTTCCCATTCTCCCAACTTCTAGGCTGCTGGGAAAGCACATTCTGCTTTTTGTCTCTATCCCCTTGACCACTAGGTGCCTCGTGTGAGCAAATTATGCAGTGTGTGCCATCTTCCTTCACTCAGCATAATGTCTTCAGAGTTCTTCCGCGTTGTAGCGTGTGTTCGAATTCCCTTCCTTTTTAAGGCTGAATAATATATGCAGTAACTATTATGTGCTATGTTTTGTTTATGCATTCACTTATCAGTGGACATTTGAGTTGTACCTACCTTTTGGTTAATAGGAATAATGTTTCTATGAGCATTGATGTGCAAATACCTTTCCAAGCGCCTGCTTCCAACTCTTCTGGGAATAGACCAGAAACTGCAATTACCAAATCATTTGGGAAAATCGCTTTAAAATTTCGAGACATTTTTAATATTTTTTTGGAATGGTCATTTGATTCATGCAAAAGGTGAATCACCAGGGCCGGGGATTTAGCTCAGTGGTTCCACCGCTTGCCTCGTAAGTGCAAGGATCCGAGTTCGATCCCCAGTACCAAAAAAAAAAACTAGTGAATCACCTTAGGATGGGAGGTGGCACAGAAATGCAGGCTGAGATGTCATACTGTTGCTCTTGTGACTTGGGTGATGCTGCCTGTGATGATGCAAAACGATTTCAAGTGTGGTTTCCTTTTCCCTTACAGCATAAAGCTCCTAGCTGTGCAAGACATACTTGACAAAGAGGCCCTGGAAAAGGTAAGTCTTTTTCTCTATCCAGCCCACATTCACAGACCAGAGTGCCTCGCATGGGGGAAACCCGCTCTCTGTCACCAGAGCCAGTGTATGCTACAGAGATGGTCAGTTACTTTCTATTCCTGGCAGTCGGTGAGCCGTGCAGAAGTTCCATGCAAACTCCCCATCTCGCTCATGGTCTCCCCACACTTGCTGGGCTCTTTAGTGCCACCTGAGCCAGGCCTGGCCCTGAGAGCCTCACTCTAGAGAGGGCCTTCATGCTTCTCAGAGCCACCCACAGAGGCCTCGGTGTGCCAGGCTCTGTGCCGACCCCTTTGCGGCCTCTGTTGTGCTGCCCATTGTATCTGAGGGTGTGGTTGATTGGGGGAAGCCCAGCAAGGCTCACTGCTTGCCCCGGTGGCTGAACAAAGGGAACAGTGCTGAGTGGACTCCCACAGCTCCACTTCCAAAGTGGGTGCTTTTCTGCTCAGCAGCTGAGTTGGTGAGTTTGTGTCCCCTTTTAGGCTACTTCTGAGACTGAGAAACTTCCTCCCCAACCCTGATGCATGCTTGCCTGTGGCCTGGAAGAGGTTCTGGTGTCTCTACTTTCTGTGTTCAAGGCCAGCCCCAAACAGGACTGTGTGCTGGCTGGGGATTCCTGTTCAGTGTGCTGGGTGGGGTGGGCTCTGGAAGTGGGCTGGGTGGGGCCATGGGAGGCCACGCCCCTCCTGCCACCCCACTGGCCTCCCGCGGACAACCAGGCTGCTCCTTCACAGTATCTCAGGACTCAGCCTAAGGATGTAGCTCTGAGTATTAATTAGAATCCATAGAGCTGGTAAGAGAGAAGCACCCAAAAGCTATTATTTTATTTGTGAAATTTAAAATGTTTGGATTAGTGGTCAGTCCATTGGCACTAAAATGAATAAAGTCTTTAAAATCAGCACCAAGCAGTAATTGGAGGGGAGAGAGGGGCCTGAGCTTGGGGTTTGTATTTTATGTTCTCCATCCTGGGAGACACAAGGTGGACACTGCTGCCTGGCCTCAGAGAGGCAGAAGAGCCAGAGAGCTAATGCAGCAAAAGGGCTTCCTAAATGCCAAAGCACTCTGCTCATATTAATTCTTAATTACTTATATTAATTCTTAATATGCATTCAGCCCTTAAAGCCTTCTAGGTTTGGCTATAAAATTGATCTGTGAGCAAAATGACAACATTGGATGCAGATGGTAGATTAGATAAAAGTATTATGTCACTGTGAACCTTTCCTGAAATTGATCACTTGCCAGTGATCCTGTAAGAGCCTGGCCTTGCTTTTAGGAATTATATGCGGCTGTGTTTAGGAATAAAGGGGCTTGGGGTTTATTGCTTGTTCTCAAGTGATTCAGAAGAGAAAGGCAAGCTTCCGAATCCTACCATCCCCGCTCGAAGCCTGCCTCGTGATGTCTGTCTGTTGCTCCCCCAGCTCAGTGGATGACCAAAAGAAAACTTTACAGAATGATCCTGTGTGTACCAGGGCTTCCTTCACGCAGCTTTCTTCTTCCTTCTGTACTTTCATTCATTCATTTATTCCTGCCATGGGTATTTGCTGAGCTTTCTGTGTGCCAAGCAAGTAGCAGACTTTTCTGGAAATATCCAGAAGCAACCAGTCATAAGCGTGGTGGCCATTTGCGTTGTGAGTGGCACGCGATCTACTCCCTGGAGCAGCACTGTTTTTTGCAGTAAGATTGTCCAGTGGACACGCTGACAAAAGACATGCTCCCTGCAGAGCCTCGTGACTGACAGAGTGGCCTCCCCTGGACACGTTGGAGGGCCACTGAGAAAAGATCTTTGTGAACTGTGGAGCTTTGCTACTCAGGCTTGTTGGATACACAGTCTTGACCCCCAACTTAGATCCCTCAAATCAGACCCACTTTCTGTAAAGACCCTGAGTGACTTTCTGTGCACTAAAGTCCAGGAAGCAGAGTGAGAGGGAAAGAGCCAGGGAAGAAGGGCCCAGGGACAAAACGTAGTTCCCAAGGTCACACCCCTATGATCCACTTCCTTCAACTAGACCTCACTTCCTGAGTTTCCATTTCCTTCCAGTAATGCCATCAAATTATGATCTTATCAGTGGATTAATCCATTAGAGTCCTCATGGTCCAATCACTTCCCAAAAGCCCATCAGCAACCAAAGATTCAACACCCTAAGCCTTTTGGGGGACATACTGGATCCCAGCTGAGCAGTACTTCACCTGTTTGGAGCAGAAACTTTGAGAAGTGCTGAGGTTTGCCTGCTTTCTGCAGAACCCAGAGCCGAGTCCATTCCCAGCCTCACCCTTTTGCAGCTGTGGGACCCAGCAGAGGAGCTTCCCTGGAGGTGCAAGTCTGGTTTCCTCATCCGTAACCCTTGCTATCTGTGCTTCCCTCCCTTCTTACCCTAGAGTTCTGTTTTTAACAAGAGTTTGACCCTTGCTCACATTACAAAGCGGGGACATCTATTCCAGCTTCTGGTGTTTTCTCTCCTTCTTATGTCAGTGGCCCTAACTGGGTTTCGAGGTGTTAACAATTCATCTGCATTATTCACTACTGAAATAGGCTTTCTGGGGAGAGGAGAACAGTGAAGACATGCCCAGTGACCTTGATACCTGGGCCAGTAGGTGCCACATTTCACTTCTTACTGTTTATCTTAGTTGAGGGACAGATATCTGAATCTCTCTCCTCTACTAATGCTACACAGAGCCAGTTCCAAACTCGTGATGGATTTATCACTTATCCAAAGCATAAATTCCAAACCATAGAATTAACCTAAATTTCTCTGTCAATTTCTTACTTCAAAAAAATTTTAGAACCATGAGCAGGGATCTAATATGTGTAAATATCAGGGCATGTGACATGAATTCTTCAAGACTGTTTTAGGTTTAGAGGTACTTTCTCATCGCGTGTCCCTTAGGTCCCCAAAACAAGGACTCAATCAGAGAAGAATGCATGTCATCCGGCCTCGTGCACTCCCTTAGAGGGTGGGACTCTTTGTTTTTCTGAACTTAAGTCACGTGGATTTGTTTCCCAGGCTTTAATGCTTTTAATTGTGGCATGACACGAAAGGAAATAAAAATATTGGTACAGCTTGATTTGGAAAGATCATTTTTCAGTGACCCTTTCGAATGGTTTCCTACAGAGCTGCAGACAATAGTCTGGCCTCGAGCTCCAGCTGGGGGTCACCTTCATCCTGGCAAGACCAGCTGAGACCAGCACCTGCCTGAGCAGCTGCCCGCCTGAGCGGGCCCTCCAGGAACACAGCCCACCCTGCTCTGAGCACTGCCCGTCCTGCCCTGGCCGCCATTCATCCCAGATCAGCCAAGTTCCTGCTTTGTCCTCTGGAGCTGGGCTGTGAGGACCCATTGGCTTTGGCAAATTCGGGTCTGCTGTTACTTGGAAGAGGACTTGCTGGACAAGTGACCCACCAGCCCTGCTTTCTTTTCAACATGCAGGGTCACAATAATGCCAACATTGTTGGAGTTTTAAAAATGAAAATTAAGCGAAATAGAAGAAATCATGTACGTAGAAGACACCAATGTGACAGTCCCTTTTACTGTCCCTACTACTGTGGACACCCCAACTGCCAGCTCTGTTCCCCAAACCACACACTTGGGGTCCACCTAGGCACCTCACTGGGGGGGTGTCAGGATGGGGTGTAGCTCAGTGGTAGAGCACTTAACCAGCATGCTCAAGGCCCAGGGTTTGATTCAGTATCACCAACAACGACCACAACAGAAAAGGGTGCATTTTCTTCTGAGGCTTTGAAAATCACCTCAAGATACTGTACATAGAGGCTCCCACTACCTTTCTGTCTCCAGGTAAAGCTTTTATTTGAATTAAGCAAGAGTAGAGCCCCCAAATAGGACTTCTGGAATCACCTTTAGCTTTCTCTGTTATCAAAGATAAGCAGATTAAACAATGAGGAGTCACTTTAAATTGATTAGTAAAGTTTGAAAAAGCATGATGAGTAGTGTTGAAGTCGTCCTGCTTGTAGTTGTGCTGGTCCCTGTCCATCCTTGGCTGGGGAAGGCAGGTGAGGGGTGATGGACCTCTTATGAGCTCCTGAGCAGTGGGTTCCATTGGTCTTTGAAGTGATCAGAATTCCATTCCTGGGAGTGAATCTTAAGGAAATGAGCCTTTGATTTGGAAAAATGATAATTATGTTATGGTATACTTTGTAATTATGAAAATTGGAAGGTGGTTCCGTGCTTTGTAGGAAGGCGGTGATAAAAATGGCTGAGGTCGATCTATCTGAAGGGCTGGTATGTGGCCACCAATAATGGTAAGTCTTTCAGCCTTGTAGAAGTATGACATAATCTTTACCAACAGCGAGGAATAAGCAGTCGTACCTTCTGTGATGGCAGCTGTGTAAAAATATATGATCATTCTTTGAATACGTATCTATTGGGTACCGCTTTCTATCAGGCTGGGAGAAATCTACATCTGTGAGAAAGGTGTTTACCTTTCCTGCATGCAGGTCACTCACATAAGGCACACACAGGGTCATTTAAATACAATAGTGATAGATAAATGCCAAAAAACCCAGAAAAAACAAGTTGTCATAGGTGGGCCCTAACTAATGTTCTCACCAAATCAGTAGGATGTGTGTGTGTGTGTGTGTGTGTGTGTGTACATAAGAGATGTGATTGAAAAGTTACAGTGTATGTTTATAACAAAATTGTTGTACTAAAAGACACTTTGTCATGAATCCCTCCCAAAACTCTCCCCTTGTTTCTGACACACTCACCCCATCACTCTTGCCACTTTCTGCAGCAGTTCTAGAAGTCCTCTTTCATGAGTGTCAGTTGCGCTGCCATGCCTGCCTCAGTGTCCTGAATTGATTCAGAATATTGACCTTGCACCGTGATTTTGACTTTGGGGAAGAGCCAGGAGTCACATGATGCTAGATCCGGTGAGTATAGTAGATGAGAAAAAACACATCGTCGTATTTTGACAAGCCTGCCTTTCCAAGTTAGATGGCACTTGCCAGCAGCATTCACTGTATTATTTT